TAGACTTCGGCCTAAGTAGGTTACAGTCCTACCAAGACCTACTTAAGAGCAAACCTCATTGAACTGGAGGGGGTTGATTCTGAAATAAATACTGTAATTATAGAATCGGGTTTTTAAAGATTCCCACCATGCATGTTTACTCAGAAGCAAACCACCATGTTCAAGGGAGCTTATTCCCAGGTACGTCTGCACAGATTAGCAGCTCCAGTCTACCCAGGTAGACAGATCGCTGGAGAGACAGTGCCTGAGAGACAATGCCCGGTCCTTTTCACGTCTACTCAGAAGTAAAGTTAAGTCTCATAGAGTTCAGGGGACTTTATTACCAAAGCAATAGATATCGGAGTGCAACCAGCGCGCCTGCCTTACAGCCTTGACTCAACCTCAGTTCCCCCATCTGTAAAATAGGAAGAATTTGATGAGCGGAAGAAGGCAAATAAGGTAGCTTTCCACAACCTGGGACTTCAGAAACACTTCACGAATCGAGAGAAATCAACGCGAGGGAACGAGGGTTGTTGTGTTGTTGTTTTTTAAGTACCCTACGGGCAGATTACCACCCCAGTCAGAATGGTGCGCAGAGACGCAACCAGGAGTTACAAGCACAAGCCGCATTCACTGAAGAACGTGCAAGAACACTTTCCCGCCCGCTGTCGCCCCAGCTCTCCCGAAAAATCCCGGTTCTCCTTGCAATTCCCATACCTTTATAGGAGGGGCTCATTTGTCACCCGGCCCTCGTTTCTCAGCCATTTACAGGCCCTACGATAGGCCACGGGGCAGTGGGTTCAGCTTCCTGGCGATCTATAGAGCGTCTCGGTGGAAGCTTGTGAAAATCGAAATTGGATTCACAGCACATAGTTGGTGGGTTCGACGACAGATTGTCTTTATTCAAAATGCCTTTGTTCAACAAATGAACAGAATTAACGAGGTAAAATCCTTCTGGATACATTCCCCCCTCCCTATTACATTGTTAAAACAGATTAAAATGACCACCGTGTTATTATGATTTTTTCTTTCTTTTTTTTCTTTTTTTATTTAAAAAAAAAAACAATTCTACTGCCTGACTCCATATCTGACATTCTGTCTAAAGTAAACTTAGGTCTACTTGCACTGATTCACACAAATTGAAGGACTACCTGTTTTAAATTAAGCAAACACTATCATACCATGTTTGAAATATAAACGTTTGTTCCCCTTTTGTTTTAATAACTCTGAAAAGCTTTTTTCCCCCTTCATCATCATCATCTTTTAATCTTTTTGACATGAAAAGCAATTTTACCTATTAGTGCTGGATGGTAAAATATAGATATATAGATATATATAACAACAGCTAAATCTTGTCTTTTAATTTGAAAAAAAATCCAGAGGAAATCATTAAGTCAGAATACTTCCTGGAATTTTAGGAATTCGAGTCCGATTCACATCCGATCATATATAAACTCATAGACATTAAGATCATAATAAATAAACAATATTTTTTTCTTAAAAAAAGAATCAAGCTGCTTGGCCTTTTGGCCAAAGGGGCAATTGGAAGTATGAGAACATTTACACTTCTTACAAGTTTCGGGCACCTCCAAGCCCCAAGTGCAGAAAGAAAAACAACTCTCTTTTTTGTGGGGATTTTGTTTTGTTTTGGATATGTCTACGAAGTCTCGGAGTTCCCCCTTTCCAAAAATTTTTTTAAAAAGAGAGAGAGAGAGAGAAAGACTGAGAGAGGGTGTGTCTTAAAGTCTTTGCCCAGGTGAAATCAGATTTCCCGGGGCATCTTTTTCCCGTGCTCAGGTGGCTTTCCTTTAGGCTTTTAACACATCTTTTCTTTCTGGAGTCTCGTTAGGTTACATGCACGTCAAAGGTACGGATCCCAATTCCAACGTCAAAACGCCAGAGATCTGGCCCAAGGTGCGGATTCCATGCCGCCTGTAATGGGTGGTGGGACTGTCAATGGGAGTTTGTCTGTCTGTCTGTCTGTTTATTGGTCTGTGTGGGTTACATGGCTGTGGCGTGCGCTGAAGAATAGGGGTCTATTCCAGTCTTGGTCATGCCTGGGAATAAAATGTAGGCAACGGGAGGCTGCAAACTGGACGCAGACCAAGCCGTACAGTTACAGGGCACCACGTAGCCCGGGTTGGTTGGCGACGGGTGAGTGTGAGTGTGCTGGCTGGGGCAACTCAAGGTGCCAAAGGCCCCGTTTTGGTATCCCAAGGTGGAAGCGTAGGGCAGGGTGCTGGTGGCTAAGGTGTGGGGCACCTCGGTCATCTTCTGGATGGCGCTGGAGCTGAACTGGCTGGGGTCAAGTAAGGAGTAAGGTGCGGAGGTGGGGGGCAGGAAAGCCCTCGCCTTTTCCGGCGAGCCGAGCAGCGAGTCCGTGGCTGCCACGGGTAGCCCGGCCGCCTTGAGGGGGTCAGTGTCTCCGAGGTAAGGCAAGGGGAAGACATACCTGTCCTTCTTGAGCAGGTTCTTAGGCTTGCGGCGGGGCCGGTACTTGTAGTCGGGATGCTCCTTCATGTGCTGGGCGCGGAGGCGCTTAGCTTCGTCGATGTAAGGGCGCTTCTCCGCTTCAGAGAGCAGCTTCCACTCGGCCCCGAGGCGCTTGCTAATCTCCGAGTTGTGCATTTTAGGGTTCTCCTGGGCCATCTTCCGACGCTGGCCCCGCGACCATACCATGAAGGCGTTCATGGGGCGCTTGATGTGGTCCGAGGGCTTGGACATGGTGCTTGTGCCGGATGGACGCCTCCTCGAGCAGCCCAGCTGCCGCCGCTGCCGCCGCCAGCAGCAGCCCCGCTGCTCCCCGGGCTCCGCTTCTCCTACGGTGGCTCCCGCTTGCCAGCCGAGGCGCCCGCTCAACTCTCAGCTGATCATACCAGTTTTCCCCGCGATCCAGTCCCCGCTCAGGGGCCCCGATGGACGGCGAGGGTGCGTGTGGAGATGTGGGAGGGGGAGGCGGCCGAGCCGGAGAAGCGGCGAGGAGGGAAGCGGAAGCCCCAGCGACGAGGCCCCAAAGGCAATCCAGGGGCACCTCGTCCGTCAAGGAGCTCTCCTGAGGATGGCTTCGCCGCGATCCCCTCGACGGAGCTGCAAGAGGGGGGGGAATCGGCGGCGGCGCGGAGCAAGGTGCCTGCCTCGGCCGGCGCAAGGGAATGAGGCAAAGGAGCGCGCTCGGAGCCAAAAGCGGGGAAGTTCAAAGGCGAGGCTGCTTGGGACGGCGCGCGAAGCTGACAGAGCGGCGGCAGGGCGTTCACTCCCCCGAACCTGGTCGCCCAATCAGCGGTCAGAGAAAGAGCGAGCGAGCGACTGAATACCTCCGGAAAAGGGAGAGCG